GGACAATAATAGAAAACATTAAAAAAGAAAAAATCTAACTAGTGGGAGGTATGAAACTGTTTTTTATTTTTCATCAATTGCTTGATATCAGGTTTGATGGAAGAAAGTTGGAGTCTCATATCAGCTTCGGCGTCCAGTCTATTGCGATATTTTGTTTTCGTGGCTGCGTAGGTAGAGAATCCTGTTTCGCACAAATATGTAGTTGGGAACGGGAGAAGAATATCCAGAGCCATTTGGCCAAGCATTGCATATTCATCTTGGATTCTGCACCAAAAATCATTAAGAGGCGTCGTTTTGAACAATGACTCCATACTTGTGTCTGATGACATTTCTAAAAGAGATTCATATATCTCATTTGACATGTTTTCAGGCTTTTCCAAGTTGGGTAAAAAAGGATTATGAATCCAGGAGTTCACTTTAATTTTTGTATTGTGTTCTTCGGGAAAATACTTTTCAAAAGATGCGCGCATCGAACTGAGATATTGGACCAATTCTTCAAACACATTATCTTCAAACATTTCTGAGTCGTTTTCGCTAACAAACTCAGTGAGTAACGTAAAACTTTCTATTTCTTTCTTACCAATGCAAATGATCCAAAAATCTAATTTTCTTTTAAAAGTAGTTATTTTATTATAGGCCTGAAACACTGTTGTCTGTTTACCTTGCAATGATAAATTTAATTCGTTAAGTTTTTGAAAGATATCCGCCATAAAAGACAATCGGAACAACCAAGTTTTATCATACAAACGGTCCTTCAAATTAAAAGAAGTATCTGCTGAAAGAAACATTTGTAACTCGGCTCTAAGTTCAAATAGCCTTGTTAAAGTTTTTCCCCGAGACAGCCATCGCACTTCTGTATGGAGCAGCAGTGTTTTATGTTTGCTGCCATAATCTTCACACAATAATGAGAACAATCGGGATTGTAGTGGTCGTGATTTGATAAAATTAATTATTTTTACCGCTTCATCCATAACTAATTTTAGATTAGACGGCATTTGCTTCATCGCAAGTGCTTGTCTATGCAGAATACAATGACTGGAACTACAATTAGGCGCTTTATTTTTCATTCGTGACACTGCTCCTGCTGTTTTACCTGTCATCGCCTTGGCCCCATCTGTACAAATGTCAATGCAATTGTTCCAACTGAGATTATGTTCTTCAAAAAATATATTTATTTTATTAAAAATTTCTTCCCCGGTAGTGTTTGTAAGCAGCGATGAACACATAAGCATGTCTTCTTCAAAAGAACTTTTATATGGATATCTCACAATAACCAGCAGGATAGCCAAACCAGCGACATCAGTCGACTCGTCCATTTGCAAAGCGAATCGTGTATTTTGTAGACGTGTAACTAGTTCTTGTTTGACGTAGCTTGCCAGATCATGGATTCGTCGTGAAACAGTATCGTTTGATAGCGGAACAGTAGAAAGATGCTTTGCAGATTTTTCATCAAGCATACATTTTGTTATGTCTAATACACATGGTTTTATTAATTTCTCAGCGATAGTGTGCGCTTCACCTGCTTGTGCAATGCGATAGCTAACTAAGTATGATGCCTCCGTGGCCTTTTCGTTGGTAGTTTGTGTTACATGCATCATATTTTTTTGACTTTCTAATAACTGATCTTTTTTGCGAACAAAAAATTCTTTATTCTTGTCTTTAGTCTCGGGGTGTACGGTTTCTAAATGTCGACGCAATTTGGCAGGTGCCATGGAACTATTAGGAAGCAGTTTACTACAGAGCATGCAGAGAGGTGAGCCGTTGGAATCAACAAATCCGAAACTGATATAAGATTCATCATACTTCCTTTTTTTCGTCTTTGAAACCGTCGAGCTTGACGTCGTGGCACTCGTGGCATCATCTTCTGGATCGGTGATTGCTAAATTCTCCGCGCGCATTGCTTTTGAACATTCAGCGTCATTAGAAGATGTTGTTGGAACACGTTTAACACCTTTAAGCCAACGTTCCATTCTTCTTTATTTATAATGTTACAAGTCAGGATAGTGGGGTTTAAATAATGCACAATCGTTACTGCGTATAAGAGACTAAATTTAGAACCTACAGGGAAGAAATGTATAAAACTGAGACAACAGAATACAGCAGGCAGTAAAACAATGAACACCAGTTTCTCGCTAGCGAGCTTGTAAGTAGGTAGTAACTTATCGCTCCGAACGCTAATCATCAACTGACGACGCCAACGCGCGATCGCCGCTTTTATACTTAGTCCTAGACTCGATCTCAAATATTCTCGAAAATACTCGAGTCGGCACCTTTGATAAACAAAAAGCAAAAATAAAAACAGAAATTTAAAAATAGCGTTGTAAACAATATCGACTTTATCCTTTGAAGTTAGAGACGAAAGTCGCTAGTTGACAACTATAGCGTCTAATTCAGAGGCGGCTTTTATCAAAGAGACTGAGCGCTTACAAGTATACTACCCGCTCGTTTTAAGTTTGCCGCTGGCGATAGGTATGAGTGTATGACGTTCGAAATTTTTTATTTAATTGTAACAATAAAAATTGTGTACGTTAGATATTTGGGTAAAACTATGACACATTATAAGTTTTGTTGTCACGTGGGGGAGGGTACGCGCATTCCACAGACCGGCAAACTTAGAGCGAACGCGTTGTACAAGTATAAAATTGTTGAGACCAAACTTATGAGATATTGTACCAGCTAATGTAACACAAGCTTATACAAATACAAATAAATAAATAAATAACATTCATAGCGTTTTGTCTCCGCGCGGCCGCGGAGTCCGCACAGCCGCGGAGCGACCAGAGAGAGGTGTTTTGATTTTTTTATTTCTAAATTCTTGCGGAACCCCGACAGAGGTATCACGGAACCCTAGGGTTCCGCGGAACACACTTAGAGTATAGCTGATCTATAGAATCATCCTTTTGACCGTGCCTATAATGCTATCAGCTGGGAAATTTTCTTCCTACACCTGAGCGGGACCTATAGATGACATCATGGTTCCTGACATTTGATAATTGAGTAAGTCAGCGTAGAAAAGGGATGATTTTGTACCATTAAATGTTAAAAAAAAACTCAATCTTTTTTTAAACTATAAATGACCTTTCCGTCACTAAAGTTATCTTGAACTTTATAATTTGTTTGGCTGAAATCTACATAGGTATATAATGAAATTCACACTTTTCAACTTCTTGCAGTATGGAGTGCAGAAATAAAATATTTATATAGAAACATCTCAAGTTGTTCTCAACCTGGTTCGAGTCCGTCTCTTGTCCCTTGTCTAATTTCAATTCCGATCAATACATTTTTCAATTTGATATTCACAAATTATTTGCAATATTTTATTTATACATTTAACTGTCATATGTAATGAAAACGTTTATCAAGTAAAATTGATGTCAAATTGTAAATATTAAAAATAATATCGAGTTTGTAACATGTATATTTTTTAATTTTAAAGCTGAAGTTTTCATAGGTAATTCAGAATCTATAAACAAACAATTACAACATAACTCTAAATATTATTTTTGGAACAACAGAGTTGTACAGATTAGACAAAATATGCACAATCCACCAGCGTTTCATTGCTTTTATAAGTCGAAGCTTTATTAAAATTTATTTTAAATCGATGACATAGTTCGTGTAATAATATTCATTTTCTACACGCTTTACTTTAAAATCCTAGTATCGGACCTAAATGCGAAGGTATCCTTCCTTATGCTTTTGGCGACCGTGGAATCTTTTGCCTTAGCGTTAAATTATTTTATTAATTATGAAGTTTGAGTATCAGGCTGCTATTCAGTAGAACTATGCAAGAAGAAATATCATTCCATAGCAAATCTGAGTTCATCAAAGTTAGGTAAATACATTATCATATTCATGGATTTTAACTCACTTACCACTGAGTTTCTGTAAGACCAAGACAAGTAGCCTCAGGATGTGCATCCACTTCAGTCAGCCATATATATGTTTAACTATTTCTTGATTATGTCACTTAAATAATTATTTGTAGGATATTATTTTACGTTTTAGGCATAAATGCATAAACTGCTTAAATTAATTCTTAACAAAATACTAGAAAAACATCATTTGATCTCCAGTTCCCCGTTTGAAACCTGGCCTAGTGGCTTTTTTTCTAGCTTATTTTTTAAAGGATGATTAATTAACTTTAACGTCACTGGAACCTGCTTTGGTGTCTCTAGTTACCAGTTCCGCTCGTTTCTAGTATGTATATAATGCTCATGTATATATAGAATTGTTGTTGTAGCATAATTCATATCGTTAACTTCAGCGCAACTTCAGAAACTCACATTTGCATGGCAAATTGTCTCGAGCTCCCCAAAAGGGCAACTGAACCGGAGGGTTAATTTATTCTAAATTAATTCGTCAAAAGTATAACGGCATGTACCTACTTTTGTGGATTCCCACTTGAATCAGAGTGGGGATTTTCCACCTACAAGAAAGGTAGGACAAAGCGGATTGATGGTGTTAATTTACTACGTAACACCACCAAAAGGTAGTGTTATTTTACTAGTCTTCTGTAAGGTTGATGAGAAAGGTTTCAGGGCTCTGCGGGATAGAGGATTAAATCAGGGGGCCATTCGTCTAACCGGATTGCTTAGGAAAACGTTAACGCTTACGATTTCATTTAGTCATTTCTAGCCGACTGAGGTTTTCAAATGCCTCGCGCTCTTTTTTTTTCTTTTGCATTGTTAATAACAGTATTAAAGGAAATGAGCGTGAGGTATTTGAAAACCTTCGGCGGTCAGAAATAACAAAATAAAATCGTAAGCGATAGCGTTCTCCTAAGCAATCCCGTTAGGCGAATGGCCCCCAGGTGGGTAAGAGTAAGCAATGGCGCGAGTGATGTTTCTGGTTTCGCAAGCATCTACAGGCTATGGTGGAAGCTTATCATAAGGCGGGTCATAGCCTTCTTTGTCACCCTCAATGGCAACTGTGAAATTATATCTATTTAAACATATAATTTCACATGTAACAAAATAAAAAAGATATTAGTAAAAAAAGTTGAATTTATTAACATTTTATACCTCCTTAATTCTAAAACAATCATAAAAACCTTTATATAACTACTACACAATTTATTTACAATATGTTTTAAATGCTAAAATCTCAATAGCGTCAGGTATCACACATTAAAAAACTTCATTGCATTAGAGGACACAAAATATATAGCTACTCTAATCAAAGACATGATAAAAACTTGCAGATATTTTAAATCTGATTACATATTGTGACGGCAGACAAACGGAGACAACCGAGCAGACGTAAATATGAGTGTGCATGATAAAGCAAATTTCACGGCGCGATTTACGCTCGCAGAGTGCACGGATATTTACGGCATCCACTGCGGGTGCTGGGAAAAATCAAGCCGTGAGTTGTTAGCCTAACACTTGAAGTATCTACCCTGATGCTATTCCCTACTCCTTACATTAAGAGCGCTGGTCGGCAACTGTACTCACTACCAACACTATATGCTATATAACAGCTGCAGGCAAGAAGATAAAGAGCAGCTATCTTTCTTTAATGCATTCGCATTAACGCTAATTTCAGGATACCTCGTGGCAATATGAAAACACTTTCATGAAGTGTGTCGTTTGGTATCACTGTCACAATATTCATGTCGATGTTCAAGTGTCCCGCAATATCAGCCAATTCAAGTCAATTATTTAGCTATATCTTCTGAATCCTTTTTCACCGCTATCAGAGTTAAATCCAGTCAAAGTTGGTTTATCTGTTCCCGCTGTTGGATGCTGCGCCGCTGGAGCTTGCAGCGTTTGAGTTAGATTTAACTTCATTGGCTGCGTAGCTGCCACTGTTTGTTACTATGTAAACGTTTTGTTCGGGCTCGCTTTCTGCGTTACCGCCCGCGCCGCCAGCTCCACCTGTCGCACTTGAAAAAGACGAGCTGATGGCTGCGCTGCCTCTATCATCATCGCCGTAGCCATCATCATACCCTCGATACGTATTAATAATCGGATTGTTAGTCGGTATCGGTATCGGGTAAGGTATCGGGATGTTCCCACCACCGCAGCAGTTGCAACAACCGCAATTTCCGCTGGAACCTTTGTTGCGTGACGCTAGCAGTAATACTGTGAGGAGTACGCCCAGTTCATTGTCATTGTCACTGGATGTGCGTATTACTGGTGCGGAGTAGAGTTGGCCTGATACTCCATTTTCCTGCGAATCAGTTAAAAGTTAAGTTTAAATAATGATGTTAGACAATTTAGAGAATATTGTTCTGACATCCTTGTTAAAGACTATGCATTTTTTTTAAAAGAGCACACGGCCCTTCTTTCCTGTTATCTATAATCCTGTAACGAATGAGTATAGTAAGTACATAAATTAACTATGTATTTATGCCAATGTCTGTATGTCTGTCAGTATTCCTGTTTATCTATTGCCAACTTTCAAACCTAAACTGCTCAACGAATTACGATAAATTAAGAAAATGATATTGTCGCAAAATATAATTGGAGGTGAAAGTATGTATGAGACCAATATTTTCTATACACGAGGTCACGGTGACACGCTATCGAAAGCGACAACGTGTAGTTATAATGAACACTTAAAAAAGTAAAAACAAAACACAAACAGCATCTTACCATGTAACTAGAGAGAGCTATTACACCAATACAAAACTGTATAATTAAAGTCTTCATATCAGTAGCTTGTCAACGCCCGTTCTTAATTTATAATTAACTAATCTACTCATTTATCTTGCTCTTCGTGTCGAGACGAACAAGAAACTCACTTATGGTAATGTCATTTATACCAAAGAGATTACATCAGAGGCAGATGAGATATAAATCTAATCGGTTTGAAAAGAAATAACTGAGAATCAGATTGCGAAATGTATTATTTATTACAGATAAAAACGATATGACGAGATCACATCTTGATTTGTTGAATAAGTGATAATTTGATTTAGACAGAGTTTCGTTGGAATTTAAACATTTAATTTAAACGTTGAATATATAGGTATAATTTTTCAAGCGTCCTAACTACAGATATTTAGGTTGTGTTATTATAATGATTCCATTAGTTGCTAGGTAATAGTTTGAGCAACTGATATAATAAAGACGAAACATTTATTCGATGTAATTAATGTTTTAGCATGGTACTCACTAATAAACATTGCTGTGGTTTTGTGAATCCACGATGTAAGTGAATCGTTTAAAATCATAAATAAAAAAATGTCCTCCCTCGGCTGGGAATCGAACTTGGGCTGCTTGTGTAGCAGCCGATCTTACTACCACTGAACCACCGATGCTTTGTAAATAAGGTCTGTTTTCTTAAATAACAACACAAAATGTAATGCGGTATGGTAAAGATAGCCAAAAAAAAATTGTGTGTGTCAGCTCCGACGCACGACTGGAGTTTACTCCTTAAGTTCGATAGTCTAACCAGACGCAAAAAGAGTTTATTTAACTTAAAAAAAGATTGATACTGTATGAAAGGGTAAATTAACAAATTAATGAAAATAATATACATATATAAATATATATTTATTCATTTCATATACATTTATTATAACTAATCGACGAAATATTTTACAATAATAAACTTTTTACAATAGTCAATTTCAGATGTGCATAAATATATTTTAGGAATGTTGATAAATTATGTAATTATTATTATCAGACTATTATCATTTTTTTAAATATTAATTAAATCAACATTGTCTGCATTATTAATTACAGTGACAAGTGGTTTATGGTGACTAAAACAAGACACATGGACGTTCGTAGATACGTGGTTCACGAATCTTGAAAATACCGCATCAATGGAAGAAACAATATCTAAATACAGTTCAGATTTTAAAAAAAATATTAATGTCAATCCGTCATCTTTGTTTGTCAAAGTTGCGCGACATAGGATGCGCACCAAAAACGTAACGAGGTCACTCATCGATAGATTTTATTCCTCACATTTTTCTCATACCGGGCCTTATATATGCAAATCGATTCTTAAGGAGTAAACTCCAAAAATATGGCGATATAATAAAAGTTTCACTTTAAAACAACTTCATGTTTCTATTACAGTTTTAATAAAACAGGGAGAAAAAACAGCCCTTGCTGAGTTTCTTGCCGGTTCTTCTCAGTACAAGGTCTCCTGCCGTAGATTTACGAACCGATGGCGTAGCTTCTAGACATCCATGAGTGCTAGTAACAGCCTAAGCTGAATAAATGATTTTGATTTATGATTATTATTATGAGTATTGTTGATCAGTCAACGGTTACAACCCTCATTGCTTGGGTCCGTAATAAGTTTAAATCAATAGACCTAAATTATAAAATCGTGTTGTATGTGTTTACTTATTTGTTTCTCTTGATGCACCTCACCTTTAATTACGTATAAACTTTCCCTATTTTATAATACGGCATTAACGTGATGTATCCAAGTATTATTATTTCTAAAAAAAAAAAACTGTCACAGTATTTCATAAAATTTTTAAACATGCTCAAACTCAAACTCATTTATTCAGTCTAGGCTGTTACAAGCCCTTGTCAAAGTCAAACGCCACGCTATCACGGCGGGAGACCTTGTACTGAGAAGAACCGGCAAGAAACTCAACAAGGGCTATTTTTTTTCTCCCTATTTTGTTTCACACAGTGTCGTCAATTGAAAGATGACATCAAAAACTGAAAACATGTGTTGATGTCTATTTTAATCACATTAACATTATTAATTAACAGTAAATTAAGTATAGCTAGGTTGTAATGCATTTTTCTAGGCTACGGCTAATTGAGCTATAGTGGGCTAGGTGTTGGAGCTTAGTTGGAGCGTATGAATCAGGGAGCGGGTGTTGATAGACCGTGCCTGGAGTACCGTGTACAAAACTTATATAGAAGGCGCCATGCACACAGTAGCACTGGTACACTTTGACAAGTTCACCGGGTGCGTTCCGAAACGCTATGTTTAAGAAATTCTTTCTTTTTTGGTTCCCTTTTGGGTGAATTCGTTCTTCTTTCCACAAAGTAAGTAACAATTTAAAATAAATCCTATCAATACACTGAAGATAAGTTCATTTCTTAAAACAATATTGAATAAAATATTATATTGTGTGGTTATCAAATCAGATAGTGAAGACTTGGTCTTGTATTAAGTTTCTTTTGTGCAAATGTTGTGTAATAATAATTGAACATACATCATTACATCAAGCGTGTTTTACTAATAATATGCTATGCTAAAGCAGGTTCATTGCCACGGACGAAGATCTCTGGCGTTTGTATACAGTCATGTCAAGTGTCGACGCTAATGTAACTATGAGTGTGGTTGTTTTATCGTCATTAACCTTGAACTTAAAAATTATTGCTTGCGTGTTCGAACAACGTAAAATAACGACGTTTGAAAAATGTAAATTGAGGAACTACTTAAACTATAAAAAAACAAAAAATAGTAAGTTTATAGATAATTTAATCTTAAATAATAGGCATAAACTTATTAACTAACTAGTTACATTCTTCATCTAAAGCTTCTGTGTTATCGTTTGCATTTTGCGATTGACTTTTCCTACTTTTTCTTTGTGGTCCAATTATTATAGGATTATAAGTCGGTATAGGTATTGGATAAGGGACTGGAATGGTTTTACAATTTCCGCAGCCACCGCCATCGTTCCCGTCAAGATCTAACATCGATATTAAGAGTAAAGGAAGCAATTTCCTCATAGATGACTTGGATGAATCTTGTATTATTATGGGAGGCATTGGTGGATAACCTCCGTGCTGTGAAAAAGGATCTCGTGGTGGACTTACATTAGGAAGAGAACTGGCTAAAACTGGGAGATTGATTTCTATTTTATAAGGCATCTGTGCTTGGTTCGCACTTTTAGCATTTGCCAATTCTCTAATGTCTGATTGAACGCTAATAAGAGTGTTACTTATATCTACAATCTCTGGAATTACATTCAACGATGTTGAATGTACATTAACTTCATTATGGTCCACGTCATAACTATGACGTATGTTGTTCTCAAGCCGATCATTAATTACATCATACGAATTATCGAAGAAGTCTTCATGTTTAAGAAAAGTGTACTGACCATCATTGTCATTATGTATTTCTGGAGAAAAAGTTTGGCTAATGGGCAATGTTGTATGTGGGATTGATACGCTCGGTGAAGGATTGAGTTGCACTAAAGGAAATTTGGAGTTTGACGATACTATAGGAAATATATTCGGACGTATTGAGTAGGAAGGTTGTAGTACTGAAGGTGAAATATTTGATGTTGTAACCGGATGATTCTGGTGATATGTCTCTTCATGTAGAGGATATACTACTATATCTTGTAGTGGAAGAGCATTCTCTCTTTGTATCCACATTGGTTTTGTGGCCGATAATATTTTTGGGAGGACTCCATTAGCATTCGCAACTGTGAGTAATGTATTCATCAACTGGGGTGCTGGTGAATCAGAGCTGAAATGTGTCCCTGGACATTGTGCTAAGTCTGCTGATGGAATATTTTCAACTGATGCTTGGCTAAGCCCGTGTTTTCCCACCTGATTTTAAAGGAAAACAAAATTAATTGCAGCGAGACAGATTAATTAAAGGATATGAAATTCGTGCATAATGAAGAATCACAGTAGACTACTGAAAATAATTAATCTCGAAAATTTATAAGAGCTGTTAAATGTATGTTGTCCATGATAAAAAAAAAAACTACAATTATGATATGATTATTATTGATCTGATGTTTCATTACTTAACAATTGCTAATTTAATATAAATACTCAAAAATTGTATTTTATTCATTCTGAAAATTGGTATCGTAAATACGCATATTATTTATAATAATATAAGACGCAAGTCAAAAAGTGATATCCTAGAACGAATATTACTTTTTGTTTACGCGTCATTGTATTTTACACAACATTCCTAATTTCTTTTATTTTCAATAATTTTCATTAATATTATACTATTAAAAGTAGGCACTCACAAAACACACGAGAAGGTAGCAAAATGACCGCAGCGTCGGCGTTCCCATTTTGTGTACTAATAATTTGATATTTTTTTACCTAATATACTGACATATTTCATTAATTATCCATATTTATTTTATCAGTTTAAAGCAACGCTTTCACAATAAAATAGCAATCTTCATGTCACCGTAACACATTTACCTACACACATTTATTCGGATAAGATAAAACTTTTCGCATGTATTGTATTAACTGTATAACTATGGTTTCATAAAACTTAACTGCAAGTGATGAAGAATATTTAATATCTGAATAGAATTACATTGCAAAAAACGGGAGCATTATGAATAAATGTCTTGTAAGTAATAAAAAGATTCTCGTTTATTACATTTTTTTCCGTAACTTTATTACAAACATTTCATCCGTAAGTAAGTACATGTTTTAATTATTTTTTATTAAATTATTTTTGTCTGAAGAAATATATGAATTCAATACATTCAAAATACAGTACATACATAATATCCTTGTACATTTCTTTATGGGTTGTTCGAAAACAAGTTTTGGAGTTTCTTGGTCCCTTTATTTCCCAAAACTTTAACAGGAAAATAATCTATTGGATAGTTAAAAAGAATTTAAGAAGCATAAATTTTTGACAGCTCCGTAGCGAATCGTCATCGTCAAAGTTTTTATAGAAAAATCTAGTTTGTTCTTACGTCCGATATAATCTGCCATCTGCTTAGTTTTCATAGAAACAACGAAGATGCGATACGTCACGAAGCTATCAAAAATTCCTCTCGCTCATTGCCGC